GGGTACCTTACAGTCACTCAGTCAACCACGAACTTCTCTGTACACAAAAGTGGAGTCAAATGTGAGGCTGTCTTACTGTCAAAGTTTGAGAGAGCTGTGCATAAGTGAATGCCTGCAAATTTCAATGAATGGAAGTAATGATTTAAAGAAATGTGGGCCAAAATTCATCCACGGTGATGTGAGAGGCTGATAAAGTCACACAGAAAAGAATGACTTCAAGTTATTTCAGCTAAAGGTAGTCTTACAAGCGACAGGCTATTGAATCAGCTGTTGACACTTCATTTGCCTTTGTTTAGTTGTTGTTGTGCCACTTTTACAGCTCTTTCTTGCGTCATAAATGAATAAAAAAAAATATATATATATATGTGTTCAAGGAAAGCAGGTATAAACCAGCATCCACAACAACATTTCATATCAGAAAATCTCAATATGAACTATGGCTCTAGTATCCTCACCTACTCGTGTACTGCAGTTTTTGATTAACCTTCCAGGCTTCTTTCTTCTTTTTACACATTATCGTTTTACAAAGCACAAAGACTGTAAGTAATGGGTTACACATCCCGTTTTTAACCCATGCTAGGTGTGGCATGAGGTGTCTCAGAGTTTGCGGGAAGCATGCCGTGACTAATAGACTGTGACTGTGTCATTGTGGCCATCCGTGAAATAGTGGCTCAACCTGTGGCTGAGACAGGATGAACTGTTGCATAGGAACCAGGATAATTTTATTCAGTGAAAGGAACGTCTTTAAATTCCTGAAGTTTGTGAGTTTCACCGTAAAGGTTCTCGCTTACTGAATACTGACCTCAGGCTTCAGCAACACGCACTAGGTTATTGAAAAAGAGGATTTAGTGTCTGTTTAAAAGCCGTGTTGAATCATGCTGTGATTCACAGTTTATTCTTTATTCTATTAGTTTGCTCTGCATCATACAGAACAGTACAGTGGTAGGCACAGGACAGGAGTGGTCTGCGCTGGCCGTCCCACAGAACATTTACAGCCTTGGGTGGAGGCGTTTATCACCTAATAAATCTGCACGGATTCCTTTTCAATTAAAGATTAACCTCTGTGTTATCAAAGGCTAATCCCAATACTTGAAGCCTCTAAATCAGGTTATTCTGTGATGCTATTTTTTAGTACGTTTTCTCCAATGGAAAAAATAAAAATGCAGGCGTGACCAAATATTTTTCATAAGGTAATAAAAGCTCCTCGTATAATATTACAAGATCCAGCTGTGGTCACATTAAGGATGTATGACAGAAACAGGAAAGATATTCCGTTTTTAATAAAATGCCAAGACCCATATGGTCCAACCCTGAATAACTATGTTGTGAAACACAGCAGTGCTGTATGCAGCTCAGGGTTTGACTCATCCTGTAATAAAAATACCACATCTGCTTTCTTAAAGCTGCCCGACAACTCTATCTGTGCTTTCTCACCACCACTGTCAAGGGTTGCAGGATTAGGACCCAAATGCAGACTCTGAGACAGACAGAATAACTAAAAGCGAGTCCTTTATTAAAGCTGGTGAAAAATCCACAGAATACAAAAGTCCACAGGCAAAGGAAACCAGAATTTAAAACAGACAGACCACAGTGGATGGAAAACAGATGCTCTGTCAAGAAGTAAAAGGAAAGAGAGGGCTTAAATACTCTCGCTGACAGAGCTGAAAGTGAGCTTATTAAGAGCTAATTAAGTAAAATGACAAAGGAAGTGAAACTAGACACTAAATACAACTATACAAGGGAACAAGGTTACCTTCACTCAGGGAACACTGGAAGACAAACAGGCAGCATCTAAAGGAATATCATGGAAATCAACTTAAAGCAGCAAAGCTTTAAGTTGAATAAAGAACTCATAAAGACCTCAAACAAGGAAACTACAAATTCAAAACTCCGCATGGCAACAACTGCTTCCTCACTGCAAATGTGTCGATGTACCACCCTCTCATCTGTTTAATTCATTTCAGTTATTTTATTTATATACCCCAACAATCAGGTGACCCCCTCTGAGGGAGCACTTGGTAACAGTGGGAAGAAAAAACTCTCTTTTAACAGGAAGAAATCTCAGGAGCAACCAGGCTCAGAAAAAGAGAGTAAAGAACATCCTTTATATTGTCTGATTTCATGAGAAACATCATTTGAGAGTTTTATTCAGCAGAACTTGAAAGTAGAGAAAACTCTGTGATTTCTGGGGTCAGAG